TATTAATAACAAAACGTTCTATAAAACTTCTTATCTCCTTTTAAATGGTCAGATCTCTACTATACCGATAGTAAGCAACGTCACTTTTCTCTTTAGAAAAGTTTCTATGTAGTTTAACGTCGGTAAAATAGTTACCTACAACTCAAATATCTGCAGTAGATACCGAGAAAGTTTTTGTAACAGTTGCGGATATACAGACACATATTGTTATCATATTTTGATAAATTATTTTTTTTGTAGTTTTTTTTATGATTGAAATATTTGGCAACATTGAAGCTTGAAAGTAGCTCGATAAAATTGATTAAATTATATGTGTATCATCTGTTGCAGAGCAATATTAAAAATTTATGTGATCTCTTCATATCTTTATCTTAACTTAAAATATGATTTACTATAAGCGACATTTTATTGTTATCAAAAAGTTTCTATATTAAAGAGAGCTCTTTTACTTTTTTTTCAGTTTTAGAGTTTAATACCTAAGATGGAAAAAAGATTCATTCTATTTAAAATAAAATTAAGTTTTTTTATCATCTTGTCTCTAACCGTGTCATTCATATTCACCGCTAATGATAATTTTGTAAGAAATATTTTTCTCTTTTTACATTAAGTTTGACACGGTTTTTATTCAACGTATACAACTTTGCATTTTACAAATATTCATGTCGAGAGCTTTATTTTCTGTCGCCGCTGTCGAATCGATACTGTTCCTGTCGGTGAAACGACGACTAGGTTGCAGCGCTCATTAACGTCTGCGTTAATCAACCAGCTTACCTTTTACTTTTTTCTCCTTTCCTTTTCGCCTCTTTCTCGTCTGCTTTCTCATATTTTCAACATCGGCTCAAGCGCATACAGTTACACCAGTGTTTCGACATGCAGAAAACGCGTTCCACGACCGAGGAGACACACACACAATCTCAAATATTTTAATTACTCCGCGGTTAATTGCATCAACTAAAAGAGAAAAAAACACGCGTGCGCGAGAGAGATAGAAAGAGAGAAAACTATGTTTGTGGTATCGCTGAGAAACTTATTCGGAGCGCAGAAGTATTATTTTTCATTAGGAAAAAAAAAAATTTAATAAAATACGCGATTTAATAACGTGACACGCAAAATAAACACGCCAAATTAAACGAACTGCGCAAATAACTGTAAATTCAAGAGTTTCGATAATAACATCTGCTCCAGAAATTACATTTCGAAAACAAAAATGGAAAAGAAAAGGATGAAATCAGGAGGATGTATCAATTTCTCGAAAAGTTTACAAACGTCATTCGTGACTGACTTCGTGTTCTTATTAATGCACACGCGACCGCACACGCAGGGATGCCGCACGTGGTGAATGCCTCAACTGTCAAGGTCGGTATTTTTAAACCGCCGTACCCTCAAGTAGGCGATAAATTGCTTGGATGAGTAACGGTTCCGAAATTGTGATCGAGTATCTCGAGTGACTCGGGGCATGCATGTAGGTATGCTTGCATCCGACCCGAAATCTGTCTTAATTTAAGACCGAATGTCATTCCGAGGAAATACATCGGGTGGTTCTCTACCCAAGAGAGTTTAGTTTATAATATTTTTATATCAGCAAAAGAGAGACAGAGAGAGAAACATGGGACATTTACGTCAAAATATATGTTTCCCTCAATACGGGAGAAACGTATATTAAACCAATACGAGGTTTTTTATCTTCCAAAATAGAGATTTTTTTACTTTGTCGTTTTGATCGACGCAAAATCGTTTAAAATTTTCTATTTAAAAAAATAATATGTCTAAATATTGATTTGTTACTTAAAATATTGCATGTCAAAGTTAAGCGCTAAAAAAATGCATTTTTCAAAAAACGTCCCAAAAGATCCATTGTGAAAACGTTTTTCCTTTTTTCAATTTTTATAAAATACTTTTGTTCTTGAAAGTACGAACAAGTCCGTACAAAAAACTGCGTTCGAATTTTTGAAAACTCTTAATTACGCAAAAAAGTTATGATATTTTAAACACACACACAAAATCTTTTTTCGAAACAAACCTTGTCAGGTTTTTCTTTAAACGCTTGTATCTTTAAAAGCTAATAGAGATTTTTTCAATCTGTATCTTTTGATCGACGCAGAATCATTCAACTTTTCAATTCAAAAAATCCAAAAGAAATTCGAAAAATATTCCGCTTTTTGCGGAAATATTCAAACTTAAAGTCGCGTGGATCTCACAGACCCAGTCTGAACAACTCGTAGATCATTTTTTTGATGTCTGGCACTGAAGGGTTAATTTATACTGAGTAGCTGGAAAAAGTTTGAATTTTTTTTAGTTTTCGAAAGCTTTGTTTTAAATCTCTTCGTGTAACAATACGATCAAACTAAATATTGCGTCGTTCTGGATGACTGATTTTTTGCCATCCTGCGGGTAGTGTCATTAAATTGTCGGTGTAGAATTTCCGCGGCTTCGCTACACGTCACCTTCAAAAGAAGTTTACAAATCTTGTTGGACAATCTAATATTTTTCATTGTGTAAATGTCCCTTCCCTATCCAAAAATAGATGCCAGGTAATGTTGGACGAAAAAATTCTCGGTCCGCGAGATAGTGTCGAGATAACGGAAATACCGAGAAAAATCTCTCTCTCTCTCTCTCTCTCTCTCTCTCTCTCTCTCTCTCTTTCTNTCTCTCTCTCTCTCTCTCTCTCTCTCTCTCTCTTTCTTTCTCTCTCTCTCTCTTTCTTTCTATCTCTCTCTCTCTTTTTCTCTCTCTCTCTCGTGCCAAAAGGGGAATCAAACTCTGAACCTAATGGAGCGCGTAACAATTCTTGGAGCGAGAGAAACCCGAAGCCAGGGCCCTCGGGCATTAACATATTAACAATGCTCCATTATGGCCCGAAGTGTATACCCTAGTCCCTCGCGCGTGGGCGCGCGTCGTCGTGGACCTCGCTCTCGAGACCGCGGAACACAATATTCGACGTTTCAGAATGTAGTCCATATACATGACGTTTTAAACTTGCTGCGCAACGCGCGAAAACACTTCTCAGAAAGGTTTCGTGTACAAAAAAAAACAATATTAGTTTTACACAGTGTGTTCGTGTATTTGCTTAAATATTTTATAACGCACATAAAAACCTAAAATTACACACTTTTTAAAATAACTAATAATTATTTGTAAATACAATGTGTTTTAGTTATTTGTAAAGAGTTGCCGAAATTCACTGAACTGATTACACTCGTTTATCAATGAACAAACCAAAATTCTGACGCTCGAGTCTCTCGTTTGCTCATCTTCTGAGCAATTGACGACGATTCTATCTTGAAATTGGAACTATTTTAAATTCTGACTCTGCTTCAACACTTTATAAAATTTAATAGAATTTAGAACGCGCACCAGATATACACGAAGCAGAGTCTAATGCGGATGTTAATTAAAAAACGGTGAGATTAATATTATATAGGAATGAGAGAGAGTTATTACTTGAGAAGGTAATGTTTGACGGGTTGAGAGTCGCACAGCTTCACACATCCTTACGTACACCTCGTTAGAAGCGCAATACATTCGAGGCGTGCGATTGTGCGTATCGTGCACGTGCACATAGAACGCGCCGGGGAACATTAGCATAAAAATGGCTTAAAAATCCGTCGAGCGTGCCGTCGACATTGGCCGGCTCCCGGGGAAGACTAGGCCCGCCATTGGTTGGCTGTATATTTCAGACGAGAAGGAGGGAGGACCGAAGAGAACGAGCTCCAGAGAAACTGCGAAAGCTGAAACGAGGAAGGAAGAGGAAACTGAGAGAGAGACAAAGATGGAGAAGATCGTGATAGAAAGAGAGAGAGAGAAGGAGGGAGGGAGAGAGAGAGGGAAGGGGGTTATCGAGAGACAAGGACCGATCCTGTGAGGGTGTATCCGAAGAAAACAGAAAAGGACGAAACACGAAGAAAAAGAAGAAAGAAGGAAAATATATAGAAGGGTGCGAGAAAGCAAGACAAGGATGAGGCATAACGGCATCAGAGTAGCAGACGGAGAGAGTGACGGAGAGGAGAGGCTCCTGTTAGATGCCAGAAACGCGCGTAAGAGAATAACGGAGAGAGAAAGAGAGAGAGGTTGATGAGGGAAGGGAAGAGAAGGGAAGGGAAGGTGTGCATCTGCATGGGGAAGTCGGGGGTGAGCCGCAGGGGGCTGGAAGGTGAACGGGAGAACGACAGGGACGCTGGTAGTGGAAGAGGGGTATTCAGGGGTCACGAGGGACCAGCCAGCGGAAGAGGGGAAACATCAGAGAAAGAGAGAGATAGAGAGGGAAGGCACCACGTGCTATGGGAACGGGAATGGCTCTCTCTTCTCTCGACGGGCCTCTCGGCGGTTCAGTTCGAAACGGGCCATCAACGATGCCTACACACCATGGCCACACCACCATGACCATCACGACGGAGTGTGGTAGTCGGCCGTGGTCGCCATGAGGCGTCGTCGTCGCCGCTCAAGCCGACGATGCTCTCAAGAGTCGAACGGTTTATCGGACTTTTTCTTCTCGCTCTTTTCCTCCCGTCGTTCTCTTCGTTTCGTTTCGAGAATCTCTCGAGTATAGAAAGATCGATGGATACGCTCGATCATTCGCGGCGCGCAGCGAAGTGTCGCTCCTCGAGCTCCACGAAGGATCGATAGTGATCGGCGCTCGTGGAAAGTGTTGCATTATATAGAAAGAGAAAAGAAATGAAGATGGAAGTTGACGATATACGTTTATGGATTATGGATGTTTGAACGTGAGAGAATAGATTTGTTCGGACGTGTGCTTGAAAAACGTGGGAAGATTGATTCGCGAAGAGGACTCGGCTTCAATAAAATCGCGTACCCGCTTAAGTCAAGAGTTAATTAAAGTAGGATTTTTTTTTAATCTCTCTGGATCTCTATGAAAATATTAACGACGAAACAATATGATTCTTGAGACAAGAGAGTAATTAGAAAATAAAAACAAACTTTGATAAGTTAATTTTTATTATAAACCAATGTGATATATATATATATATACATATTATAATAAAAACGTGATAAGATATATACGAAGCTTACATGTTTAAATTTATGTATTTGTAATATAATTACATAGTGGGGAAAAAAGCAAAAACACATAATGTGATTATGACGAATTAAAGTAAGTGTCAATACGAAAGTGTGAGTTAACGCAATTTTCAAACTTCACGATATAAATCTGACTGTAAATGACTGACCGTTTTTTATCCGATCTAACTGCTTGTGAGGAACTTGTTGAGAGTTTTTAAGTGATCGCCTTTCCGCATCGATCCCGTAAAAAAATGTCAAATCGTGGATCCACAGCCTGATCTTGTCTGAAGAAAACGATTAACAGTAAGTCGGTCGATTCAAGCAATCCAGATCGATTCACGACGAAAGTGTCCGTTGGCACGCCAATCGGCTTTTGCTTGTGAGGAGAGAGATCCTCGTTATATCCTTCTCCGCTGCAATCTTGGAGCGCAACTTGTTGCAACTGCACATGGCATTAGAAATTACCGCAACTTGAAGATGTTATTTTTTTTTTTTCTCGTAAACCTTGACGAACTGATTTCTCTCTAACTCGATTTGTGGAAGATCAACGAACTGCGGAAAGGAAATAACAATAGACGGAAAATATTTAATTCGAAGAAACGAATACGAGACGGAATTAATGAAATATTCATGAAGCATTTTGAGACTGAATTATTCAGCGTTTTTGGTGAGAAAGGGATGACAACATCGAATGTTCTCGTTCATTTCTCGAGATACTCCTTTGAGAATTAAAACGACGCACGTGCTACGGTTTCCAAACAAACACTAACATCCGAGATAGAAGAAGCAAAAAAAAAAAAAAAAAGAAACTGGCACTTATAGAATTAAAGTAAAGCGTCAAACCCCTGATACGTCATCTCAAGTATTTTGCGACATTTATTTATAAATGTATTTGTTCTTGCGAGAACATAATCAATAAAAAAAAAATCAATACATTTGCTGTATCTTATTTCCACAACGCAACAAAAAAAAAAAAAACACAAAACTGCGTTGCTTCGAACAAATATAAATAGATTTATAATAATGACATGAGCAAAACGTGCGACTTGCAACGGCTGCTCCACCGGTTTGAGGAGAGTCATCTGCGAAAAATTCGACGAGGAAAGGAATAATAATCAGTGGAGCGTCATGGGGAACAGCGGAAGTAGCGGGGGTGCAAACAGGAAGGCACGAAGTTTGCCGAATTCGCCGGAAGCGCACAGGTATCCCGGCGTTTTTATTATCCGCCAAATAATTCGCATAACTTTACCCACCACCACCACCACAAGATCGAGAAAGCGACACACACAATAAAAGAACAAAAATTTTAATCTCCCTGCTCCGAATATCGAACACGTCGTGGGCGTATCGTTTTATATCGCGTGTTGGAGATTTTCTTGTATTATTATTTTCTCCCCGCTCCCGCGATGTGATATTCTTGTTCTTATATATACCTCATTGTGTGTCTCGATTCTCATTCTCTCGCTTCTCGAGACACAAGCCACGACGAAACCGGTTATTCGGTATATTTAGGATTTCCTGAATCATGTGTGCCATACGCGTGTAAATTGTCGCTGCTCGCTCGGAAAAAGACATTAAAGTCGCTTTTGCAGAGTTCAATTCTCTGTATTTATTGATTATTGCGCGAAATCAAATTAGATCAGAGAGAGATTTTGATTTTATAAAACTTTACTTTTCTATAGATTAATAGCAAATTAAGAGATTTGGTGGATCAGTCATACAAGAGTCTGCAATCGTATTTTTGCACACGCATTTTCGCGCGGTTTGACGCGTTTGAAATAGAGCGCGTTCTCTCGTAGGCAATTGTTTACACATTAACAAGTACCTAAAACAATGAGCAATCGCACAAAAAAGTCGCATACAATATTACGATTGTTACTTCAACAAGTAATTTTAAATTATATATTTCGATGCGCTTTTGTTGAAGCAAGTTGCGAATTAGTGAGATTCGGTTGGCGATTCGAATTGCGTGTCGTAGGTGTTGCGAAGACTTGCGCGACCTACGTGTGTATGTACGTAGCGAGAAGCGAGGTCCACAAGTCCTAACAACCGGTCTCCCCGAGTTCCCGTGGCGATCGGCCGCGACCGGCCAGGCGGATCTGGTTTTGCATTTTTCCGTTCTCGATATAGATCGGCAGTGACCGGCTGTTTCACTCTCTTCTCTCTCTTTCTCTCTCTATCTCTCTCTCTCTCTCTCTCTCTCTCTGCTTTATTTTCCTTGTTGTGCAATTACGCTTTTGCGCCAGAAAACCGCAAACAACATTTGTCGGCAGGCAATAATGAGAAAATTGCGAAAATTTTAAGTCAACAACTTGATTGTACACTCATTTTTTTTATATATTATGTGACGCAGAGGTTTTAAGAGTTTAGAACGCACGTAGGTAGACAGAGACATTTTTCATATCTTATTAGCGTTATGTTCCTAGGGGAGGGGGGGTGCGATTATTCGCGGAACAATCGACAATTACACTTGGGAGGAGGAGAGGAGGGAACATTGCGAGAGAGTATACGAAATTTCGGATGGAATTTTTTTACAGGAACAAAACGCCGAGGGTAATACGATCCTTTAATTAAACCGGCTTAAAAAATTCATTCTCGTCACGGGAACGCAGAGAGAAAGAGAAGATAGCAAGGGATGAAGGGAAGATAGGGATTTCCCCCTCTCGGTGTGTGACGTTTTTCTCCGGGCATTCTCGATTTGACCACCTTTTTAGTCGGTCCGCTGCAGAGGAAGATTCGCGAAGAAGCGAATTTTTCTTTTGTCGAACAACAATTAACTCTAATCTCGTTTTTTTTTTTTTAGGCATGTAAATCTCGACATTTATATCTGAGGTGATTTGTTTATTGGTTAAAAAGTTGCAAAATATCTTTAAATTAATTTATGTGATTCGATATATTTTATATCAAGGAAATAATAGTTAATAATTAGTTTTGATATATTTTCGTATTGTTTAGAAATAGTCAACAAGATACCTCGTTTTCAAGAATCGCTCGAACATTAAATATCCCGGGTTTATGGGACTAGGGTTAAATTTATTTTAATTCGAGTGACAAAAAGTCGCGCTTTTAGAATCGCTCGGAAAATTTATCGGTCATGAAATTTCGTGTAGTTGAGAAACGACACTGTCCTTATATCCGTCCGTCGTTAGAATGTTATTTGTGAGAAATTAATTGCGTTGCGGAGAATCGTAGATGCTACACTGAGTTATCATATTTTAGGAGAGATAAAATCCCAGACATTTTCATGAAGAATTCAATTTCAACAGTGAGAAGGTCTATGACTCACGCGTTGTTTTTGCTTCTATAAATTAAGTAATTTATTATTTTCGTTGGCTTTTATAACCATTCATTTGAAAATCTGGAATTGTCAAATCCAAAACTGTCCAAATCATCTGATAATTTTGCAGTTTTTCCAAAATTCAAAATAAATATATTACCATATATAAGAATGATTTCTCTCTCTTTCTCTCTCTCTCTCTTTCTCTTTAGTTGTCTCTCTTTTTCTGTTTCTCTTTTTTGTCTTCTTTCTTTATTTCTTTATTTAGCGAACGAGTTCAAAGACATCCACGGGTCGACGAGAGTGAGTCAATGTTTTCGATGTGAATGGCCGCAGAAATAGATCCTCGGGCGAGCACGTTTCGCGATCGCGCGCGATTCGCGGGGCTAAATCCTGCTGCTCCGACTGTTAGTGAAACGAGAGCGGACTTGCGTGTCGTCTCGTGTGTCACCGATCGTGCGCATCAAGAAGGAAAAACGAGGACTCGCGGCGATGCGTAAGCCGGGGATTATCCGACCTGACAACGGCGCGTTCGTGCGTAACGATTGAATCATTCCGGACAGCTCGTTTCGGAAACCGAATCGAGCCGAATCTATACAAATGATTTAAAAAAAAAAAAAAAAAAAAAGAAGAAAAAAAAAAGAAAAAAAAAACATTGAGAACACAATGACACACGCGAGACGTCAGATATTTTAAAGACGTTCGAAAAATAGATTTAAAATAACATTTGAATTATCAAATAGAGAGAGAAAGTTTTTTAAAGAGAAAAATCAATATGAGAGACTTTTCGTCGTTCAAGCAAGTAAGACTTGTTGGGAAAAGTAATGCGAGCGCTTGAACGTGTTGCGCTACCTCGACTGTTTGTAATTAAGTGTAACTTGTTTGTCCGCAACGAACAAAGAGCAACGTTCGATCGGCAGTTTCGAAGCGAAGATCCGGCCGTGCCTTGATGAGAACGGAGCGAACGCGCGCGGCTGCTCGCGTTCCCCAGGAGATATTCTTGCCAAGTCTCCGCTTTGATTAATTAGAATGGCGCATTGTTCGCGATGTATCGGCGAGATGATGTATCGTGGCGAGGCAGGGCGGAGGTCGCGAAACCGTTACGTATCGCAAATTGGATGCAACGTGACTGCCGAAGAAACCAACTTCTTCCTGTGTGAGAAAAAAAATAAAACTCTAAAAAATTTACAAAGTGTACAATTCACTCAGTTTTTTCGTCAGATTTGGAGTCACAAAAGAAAGTTGTGAATAATATAACGTGAATAATATAACGCATATTAAAACGTATGCTGTTTGCAAATTCCGATGTTCGCATCAATATCGTAATTGACAAAACTCTTCGAAAATTGCCAGTGCGGCAAATAATTGGAAATGTCATTTTATTCTTTGTTTATATCTTTGTTTATATATTAAATATTATTTTTGCAAACTAAACCGTGTGAGAATTAGGATTTTGAGAGCCATACGCTTGACGTGCGAAATATTATGTTTAACGTATAAATTAATACATGTAGAAACTTCGGATCGAATAACAATTCTAAAATTTATATAAAATGTTGCAATAAATATTGATGTTAACATTATTTGTCAATTTCTATTTCGCTTCTTTCTCTCTCACTCTCTTTAGATTTCGCTCTCTACTCTAGGTTTTGATAATCAAAAAAAAAAAAAAAAAATTACTTGTAGTTTTTTTATCACATCCAATGTTTTTTACACACCACATGCTTCCAAAACTCGAAAAACTATACATTTTCTCAATAACGCATCTCGCGCAATGGCGGTAACGGTATTCATTCGCGGCGTCCTTGCGTGCGTATCGACGATAAACGGTAGCTGTCGAAGAATCACGATAATAATATCGCCTTGCGGGGAAGAACGGCTCTGGTCGTTGTCGTGCTTCTTCCTGGAAGCGGTTGTTAAGTCCTTCTCTCGAGATCTTCTAAATTTATCCTGCGCTCCGCTGGAATAGCGAAGCTTCGGCTTTGCTTTACACGCCGGTGTACAGACCTTTCTCTCTTTCTCTCTCTCTCTCTCTCTCTCTCTTCATCTTTCTTTTTCTTTCTCTTCTTCTCTAACGCTCTTTGCCTTCGACGTAAGATCTGGCAATTACTTCTAATACCCAGAATGAATTATTTCTCTTTCTCGCGCTCCAGCGCTATCTACGCCCAGGTCTCGCCTTCACTTCTCTTTGATTCTCGTTAACGTGACTCGTTGCGGCGCGCGACACCGTTGCGCCAATTTGCGACGCGATTGTATTTGCACGCGGAATAAATGTCGAGATCACGAGGAACAGTAAGATGCGATTTTGCGATGGTGAAGCTTGGAAAAATTATTCGAGATGAAATAACGTACGAGTAGTAATCCTTTCTCGTAATTAGCGGCGGAATATAAAGAATGCAGCAGAAAGGTGTGTCTCGCGAATCACGCTGCGCCAGCTGCAGCGCGACACGTGGGTGTATATGCAATGCAAATAAATACGCAAAACCTACCGCCGACGTAGAAAATCGCAAAAACCTGAAACGTGAGGTCCACTCTAGACGGGAAGTGCCGAGAAAATTGTATTTTTAATTAATTAATTAGAAAACAAGCTTCTGAGAAAACTCCAAAAATTGTTGCGTTTGGATCTCAAAATCCTATTTTTCGATTAAAAATTGAACAACTTTTTCAATTTGTAATTTTACAAACCACTATCGCCGGTGAACTATAGCTTCAAGATATTTTATAATTTTTAAATTTTTATAGTAATATACCAAGTCTGTATTTAACCATCACTTTAATTGGCGCTTGTTGATTTTTTCTAATTATTAACAGTTTTGTCTATTGTTAATTTTTGCTTGACATTTATAGTAGGTTAATTCGGATTTTATTTTAGAATCCTTTAACATTGAGACTTTTTAAAAACAAAAATTGACAGGTCTTTGAAGTGTCAATCGCTGGATTTAAAGTGTCAGTCATTGGACGTGATTTTGTGCTATTTTATCGTTCGTTACTTTATTTTTAAAGGCTAAAGAAAAACGATATCGCTTCGCCTTTGTTATATACTTAGCGGCTTTGAATTGAAGTGATTGCATTCCTCACGGAGGTGCTCAGACAGCCGATTGGCAGCTGCAATTATATTTCCGTTGCGGCGAAATAGCGGATAAATTTAGGAGAAAGCGATGATTTACGCGAGAGATGTGAATATCGGATGGCCACACGTTTAAGCGTTAAACGCCCGGCGCGAGCACAACTCAAAGACCGTTTTCTCTGCCAAGCCCTGTTATATTCACAAGGTTTATGGACAGTACTTGGTAATTCGAGCACAAGTGTGTACACGATAGCATGTGCTCCTACGCATTGGCGCATACGTGAAAAAGCTGTTGGCTGAAAGGAACCTAACGACGGCTATTTAAACCCTGATTTATATGTTTCGCCAGATAGATTTAACCGACCGGATAGTTAATTACCCGTAGAATACAACGATTTGATGAGAGAGTCGTGTTTCTGTATTACGAGCGTGTAGAATATTTTTCATATGAGAATAAAAAAAACATTCTTATAATAATAATGTGTGATCTTTGTTTATATAAAATGAAGTTCCATAGACGGAGTGTAGAAAAGAGTATGCGTTTAAAAAATGTTCAAATATTTGAGAAAAAATCAGCATTACATATTTCTTCTTTTATCGCGAAATGTTTTTGTGAATTCAAAAATGTGTACGAAACGGTCGATCCAACAGCGAAATGTCGTTTTTGTTTCAGACTGCCGTCGCCCTACAATAAACAATCGTCGGGAGTTGGCGGCGCCGGAGGTGGCACAGGGGGTAGTACGAGCATACCCTTGCCCGCGACCGTCACCGCCACCAGGAGATGTCCCCCGGACAAAGTAAGACCGGCTCCGACACCGACGCATCAATCACAACTCGGTAAGTTTTCCATCAACTGACGTCTTAATTCCGTGTAGTTTTTCAACATTGCATTCGACCGAAAAGAAATATCGAGGTTTGCCTCCACATATAAGGGAGCGGAAAATATAATGTTACGTATAAATATATCAGTAACTTTACATTGAATCAAACTGAAATAAATAAATTTTTTTATTTCTTTTTTTTTAATTGCACAACGCACACGTTTGATGGATCTGTGTAAACAAATTTTATGCTTTGTCTATATTTAACATTTGTTGCGCTCCATTATCCATATGGACGGCGAAAAGCGAGAAATGAAAAAATAAAGAACGCGACCAGACGAAAAGTGAAATAACAAAAAAATCGTGTGTAAAACTGCTGCAATTTTTAAATAACGTCCGTCAACCACAGCGCGACCGCATGAAATGTATTATTTATATTTTGTGATATGTTCACGTATACATATAACACAAGTGCGCGTTCCGCACACGCTGCACTTTTGTACAAATAAAAAAACTCTAACAAGTCGCGCGAAACGTTTATTTATCGATCCCTGGTCTGATCGATCCAGCTTCATCAAACGGTTATCTCTATTAGTTTTTCATCGAATCGTCCGTATAATATCGTAGTATCGGAATTTTATTGTGCTTAATCATCAATTTTTCGCCACGATACATTTTACGTCTACACGCTAGCCTAAAAATATCGTATTGTTTTTTAATCACATAATAAAACTTTAAAATAAAGAAATTAATATTTAAAGAAAGTTAATTTTTGTGTGAATTTTGTTTGTACACTTGTCACAAATCGAGATCGCAGTTGTGATCCTAAATTGCGGTCAAAAACGTGCAAATCGCAATACCACTACAATTTGAGATCGGACATATGAATGAAAATTTGCAGAATTTTGTTCGTTTTCGAAGCATTTCCTTCTTTGAAATCGCTTTTCTTTCAAAAGCACAAAGAACGAACAAGAGAGGCGTAACGAACACTCCGCGTTAAGAACACCCCATTAGCCATTAGCCCCGTGAATGGCTTTTAGCAACCCTTTACGCAGACTGTGTCTCGGGAGAACTTGGACCACCATGAAAACTCGTCTCCATGGGATCGTCGTGCGCGAGTACATAGTGCGATCGCGCGCGTCGCGTGCGCTGTCGTAATCACTCGCTTGCCATTTGTATTGCTCTTTGTTTGCGGCGTATGTGAACTTTCCTGATATGTGCGTAACAATTTTTGCAGACCTTTCGACGCCTTTAACTTCTCTCTTCTTTAAGTAAGTGTTTTTGTTGTTTTACGTCGACAATTATTTTTAATAATTCGAATAGTTTATTATTATGATAATAATTTATTATTAAATAATAACAAATAATAATAATAAATTATTATTGTAATATCGAATAGTTTATTATTTTTTTTTTTAATAAGATAATAAGATAACAATAATTTATTTAATAAGATAACATTTATTTAATAAGATAACAAAAAGTTCATCTTACACGCGAAATGATTTTTCTTGCGTAGCGCATCGCTTCAAGAACAGATTTTTAATGAGAATATCTGTTTTCGAGACTTTAACATTTTCTCTCAAAAAACCCATTTTTGCGCGCGCTTTTTCTCTCTCATTCTCTCTCTCGTGTTATAGTTCTTCCATATCTGTCCTATTTAACTATACTTATTCTTCTGCATCATAATAATAATCTTCACGCTCTTTTCCCCTCTTCTTTCCATTCTCTTTCTCATAGAAAAACGCACACATTCGTCCATCCTCTTTATAACATGCGCGCTGCGCATACGTACGGCAATATTACCTACGAAAGAGATAGGACGTGGGGAGAGGGAAAAGGGAGACCCGAGGGGGGTGTCGCCGCCCCTACGAGATGGGGTGGCACCCTATAGTTTATACTTTACTCTCAACTCCCGCGTTTCCACGAGCCAGATGTGCTCGGGCATCCGATTTACCGTGGTGCTCAACCCGGGGAGTCTTTTCGCGAGACAATGGAAGTCGTATAAGGAAAGAAAAGCGAAAAGGAGGAGTGCACGCTAGTTTCCTCTTCGAGACAGAGAGAAAGAGAGAGAGAGAGAGAGAGAGAGAGCAATAAAAATGCACACGAGTCCTTCTCTCCACTTTTAAGAGTCTGGTTCTCTCGCTCAATTGCGCCGCAAAAAAATGCAAGTGCCAACCGGTCCTCGCGCGATTTCCCTCTTTCCTGCCTGCCTCGGGAAACGTCGTCGTCTGGTCGCTCGTGCCCGCCATCGCGACGATCAATGAAAGTGAAATAAGGCTCGCAATTCCATTCATATCGCGATATTGCAGTTCGGTAGTTTGTGTTCGAAAATTTTTATTGAAAACAATGTAGAAATATATCTCAAAATTTACGTTAACTCTTAGACAACCGAGGGAGTTTTTCTTTGAAGTCTCATATATTTGATATCCTTTATCTTATACATTTGATATAAAACTTGTATAAACGCACGTCTCGTAATAAAATTATCGCGCAGAGCCAATATATATTGCCGACTCTCTAAGGGGCCGTTAAACTTAATAAATTTCTCACAAAAAGCCTATATTTTGTAGGAGTAAAAATTAATTAAAGTCAGTAATGCTCTCTCTCTCTCTCTCTCTCTTTCATCTATTTGGTTAAATATTTTGTTTTCTTTCTGCAGTTTTGCATAATAATAAAAATAATGACACTGAGCAAAAATCTTATTTTATTCATGCGGTAGTTTTGGGAGCAAAAAGGGAGGAAAACCTACGCGCCCTTATCGCTTATTTACACGATTGGGCACCGCTGGTGCGCGGCTTGGACGGTGAGGGGTGTGTGTTGTACTCTCTCTCTAGCCGTTCTCTCTATATATCGTAACGGTATCAAAGCGCGCGTGTCCGCGCGTGTCTGGATACAGAACGCGTTCTCCTCTCCGTTCGAAATAGACTTCCACGTCGTGCACAAACTAGCCGGCCGGCCATAATGCATGTGCGCGCACGCATAAGCGCAGGGGGGTTTTTACCCTTTTCTCTCTTTTTCTTTCTTTCTCGTCATAGTTTACGATATTATTGTAGAAAATCTCGTTTTTGTTTCTTCTTGCTATTTCCACCACTCATCGCATTTCCGTAATTGACGACCTTCTCGCGTCTAGTCGCGTCTAAGCGTCTAGGTCACGGTCTTGATTTATCATCACCGTTTCTCTCTCGAGTGTCACATTTGTCAACGGAAAACTATTTGCGGAAACTTGTTTGCTTGCGCATCAAACTTTTTCTCTCTGGTAACATATCAATTTCCAAAGATGGTTTTCGGGTTTGAACCGCATTAGTATTATTTTCACGACGCGTCTCCTGGACATTTCAGTTCACTTCATTCAGGGGGGGTTTCAATTACTGATGCAGTATCCGGTTGCTCCTGATGAAGTGAACTGAAATGTCCGCGAAACGTCGGTGTAAAAAAAGTGACATTGACACGCGGTTCAAAAAGAATCCCCCAAGAACCACGTCTTCAGGAATTCTTACGACACATCGCGAAAGCGTCGAATATCAAAGATATCAACTGTTACAACGTGCAAAAACATTTATTAATGTGTGCGCATTAAATTGTAGTGTCTGAGGTTCAGCCGCGAATAGTCGTTTTTTTTTTTTAAATTGTCTCAAAGAGACAAGCGGAAGTTAAAATGAAGAAAATAAAGAAGCGAGGAAAAGGAAACCGAGACCATTCCGTTTCGACCATTCGTCGGCTTCGTTATAAACTCTGTCTTTCGTTTCGCGCGTATATATATATATGTGTCTGTATAAGAAAAAAAAAGCGGCGCGATAGAAAGAGAAAGTGCGGAAAGCTCGGCGTTGAAAGGAAGAAACTGAAAGAGGGAGAACAACGAGAGAAAATTGGAGTCTCGTGAAACGTACGTAAGACCTGCTCTCTGCACCCGGTCTTTAACCCCAAAACACTCGAGCGCCCCAGAGATTCTCAACTCTGGAAAACAAATTTTGTTTCTTGCGCAAAATACGCAGGCTGCCGTGATGAATTTAAAAAAAAAAAAAAAACGCGAGGTTTGTGTAATTAAAAGTCTTAGCGAGAGAGCGTGAAAAATATTATTATTCAAAACTCGAACTTTGTTCTTTTCACCTTCTCTTAAGCAATTTCTTTTTCTTCCCTTCTTCTCGTTAAATTGCAATATTGAATTGTGCGCTCTTTTGTTTGTATAATAATTTGTCTCTGGAATTATATATATCAATGGTTTTCGGAAGAAATAAAAAAAACACAGAACTTGAGCGCCTTGTGTCGAGAGCGCGAACATTCAGAGGCCCTTAAATCTTTCTCTTCCTTTCGCTTTTCTTTCCGCCTCTCGCGCGAGTTAAAAATACTACACGTTTTTTTGAGTACCGGTTCCAGCACACAGGTTTCTAGAATCGGCCTCTCCCGCGTGTCTCCTTGACGAGTTCGCTTACACTCATCTAAAATAGAGGGGTGGCGGTGCAATCAAGAAAGAGAGGAAAAACGCAACATGGAAAAAGCGCGGCGCGATTGGTAGCATTTTGCCGAGAATTATGCGCGTCGTCATCATCGATGCAACGAGATGATTCAAAAGTATATAAATAACCGCGGCTGCTATTAGCGCAAGAGCGGCGCTTCTCTTTGTGAGGTCTTCGATCTTCCGCCTTCTTTCTCTTCTTCTTCTTCTTCTTCTTCTTCTACTTCTTTACTCTTCATCGTTTTCTTCTTTATTTAATCGTTTCAATTTGAAGATACTCAAAAAAGAAACGGAAGCGTCCATCGAAATGTCAGCGGAAATCGATAGAAGTCAATGTTTCAGTTTTTTTTTTCCTGAGTTTTCCGGAACACCCCATTGAAGCTCGCGGGATTCTTTGTGTTATCGCCGCAGACATCGGCGTGTTCTCGCGCATGGAATATATTCGCCACTTGCTGCGAGAATCTTATCCCTCACCACTCGCGGTGGGAATAAAATCCGCTTTTGTTTTAAGGTCCGGAAAAACTCGCCCTTCGCACGCCGAGGTATACGTGCGATATTTC